AGTCACGAATCATGCCATCCCCCTTGAGTACATTGAATGACGAAACGCGTAGGTGGTTTGGGCTGTGATGTCACCACACCCATCGGGTCCTCATTCTCAGTTTGGGATAGCAGCCAGAGTGAGCCCGTGATACATGCCTAAGCACTTTACACAAGTGTCATTGTAGACACTGCCTGGCCTGCAGATACAATCACTGCAGACAGTCTTTATCAGATACCTGAACTCACCAAACACCTGTTCTTCTCATCTATGAATCTTTTTTTTGCAATGCGGAAGGTACAACAGACAACCTCGGATCCCATGCAGGCTGTGATTTTCAAAGAAGTGCAGGGACTCCTTCTCTGCGTGTCCCGGGAGTCCATTCAAATGAATGGGCTCTTGTGCCCGCACAAAACACGGCCCCCATGGCCACACTTATGTGAACCTTGCCTTAGGGCAGCACTGTGGCTAAATGGTTAGCATTTATGCTTGGCAGTACTCGGGTCATTGGTTCGAATCCCAACCACGGCACCACCTGCCTAGAGTCTGCATGTTCTCCCTGTGCCTGCGTGGGTTTCCTCCGGATATTCCGGTTTCCTCCACACTCCAAAAGACATGCTGGAAGGTTAAGTGGATCCTGTCTAAATTGGCCCTACTATGTGTATGTATGAATGTAAGTTAGGGACCTTAGATTGTACACCCCTTGAGGGTTAGGGACTGATGTGAATGTACAATATATATGTAAAGTGCTGCGTAAATTGATGGCGCTATATAAGTACCTGAAATAAATAAATAATCCGTATCCACAGCTAATCACCCCTTGCATTGCTATGCGCAGCAGAAAGAAGTCCAATATCACAACAGGGATACTTATTGTGGTTGTATGAACGCACAGCCTCTAAAACCAGGGAGATGGCCGGTGTCATGCATACAGCAGTTGTAGATTGGATTTCATTACAGGATGTGCCTGATGACAAGCTGTGCTGACCAGCACTGTGCGCTCACTACACAAAAAGCAGCAGCTTTACGACCCTTCCCATCATCAGAACTCTTCTTTGTGGGTAGAAGTGTGATCAGTTCTATGAGTCACCCCATTTACAGCTGTTGGTTGGGATTTTTACACTGCGCTGGATGAGAGCTTCAGCATTTAAAGTGTTTTTAAACCCATGACAGTTAGACTGTATATGCAGTAAAGCATGCTTATTATACTCACTGTGGAACCTAAGGGGTTAATCCTCCGTATTGTGTAAAAAGGCTGTTAGATCCTGTCTTCTCTGATCCTCCCTTTCTTCTACTGTCCCCAATACATCTGCTGATAGTACAGAGAGCCCTAGGAGAAACTCTGCACATTCTCAGTTTGGTGTGTATCGCTAGAGAGGTTTTTGATTTTGGGAGGGTGCATGTGATCAGCACAGGGCCAATCAGTGCTGTCCAGGCAGAGGGTCAGGGGTTATGCAGCCTCACAGGACAATCAGAGGAGACTGAAAACTCCTCCCACAAGATTAGCTAGTGCTCTGCTGGACACTGATAGAAATCACAAGACTGCTCTAACTGCTGATGAGAAAAGGTATTTTAACAGTTTATATTTACTAAAATAATTGCATTTCCATGTTGTGTGTACTGTGGGAGATCGGATATAGTGAATGCAGGAATCGTGGAGACCAGATATAGTGAATGCAGGGTCCGGGGAGACCAGATATAGTGAATGCAGGGTCCGGGGAGACCGGATATAGTGAATGCAGGGTCCAGGGAGACCAGATATAGTGAATGCAGGGTCCGGGGAGCTCAGATATAGTGAATGCGGGGTCCTGGGAGACCAGATATAGTGAATGCAGGGTCCGGGGAGACCGGATATAGTGAATGCAGGGTCCGGGGAGACCAGATATAGTGAATGCAGGGTCCGGGGAGACCAGATATAGTGAATGCAGGGTCCGGGGAGACCAGATATAGTGAATGCAGGGTCTGGGGAGACCAGATATAGTGAATGCAGGGTCCGGGGAGACAAGATATAGTGAATGCAGGGTCTTGGGAGACCAGATATAGTGAATGCAGGGTCCGGGGAGCCCAGATATAGTGAATGCGGGGTCCGGGGAGACCAGATATAGTGAATGCAGGGTCTTGGGAGACCAGATATAGTGAATGCAGGGTCCGGGAGAGACCAGATATAGTGAATGCAGGGTCCGGGGAGACCAGATATAGTGAATGCAGGGTCCGGGGAGACCGATATAGTGAATGCAGGGTCTGGGGAGACCAGATATAGTGAATGCAGGGTCCGGGGAGACCAGATATAGTGAATGCAGGGACCGGGGAGACCAGATATAGTGAATGCAGGGTCCTGGGAGACCAGATATAGTGAATGCAGGGTCCGGGGAGACCGATATAGTGAATGCCGGGTCCAGGGAACCAGATATAGTGAACACAGGGTCCGGGGAGCTCAGATATAGTGAATGCAGGGTCCTGGGAGACCAGATATAGTGAATGCAGGGAGGGGTGTTTAGAGGCAGGAGTACTTACAGGGAGAAAAAAAAAATATCACGTGTTCAAAAGAGGAGTGCTTTGGCTGAAAAGAAAAAGACCAAATTGCACTTAAACACGTGTAAACTCATTTAAACGTACCAAAGTACAAGGCGTGTTTAATGCTTGAGTTTTTTTTTTTTTTTTTCATTTCAGTGGCCAGAATAAATAATTATTCTGGCCAATGACAGGAATGAATGCCCAAGCACTTGACAAGCCTAAATGTGTTTGCAAAAACATGGCTTAGGCACATTTCTGAAGCTGTTTTTCTCCTGCTGGGAGAAAAGCTTTTACAAAAGCCCCAATGTACATGAAGATCTCAAAGTGGTTCTAAAGTCTTAAAGTTTTACTGAACATAATAAATATAAACTACTAAATACCTTTACTCATCATCATATCAGTCTTGTGACTTCTATCAGTGTCCAGCAGAGCACTGGTTAAAGCTTTAAGGAGATTATTTCTGTTTGTGCTGTGAGGCTGCATGACCCCTGACCCTCTGTCTGGACAGTGCTGATTGGTCCTGTGCTGATCACAGGCACTCTCCCAAGGGCAAAAAAATAACCTCTCTAGCAATACACACCAAACTGAGCATGTGCAGAGTGCCCTCTGGCTCTGTTCTATCAGCAGATAGATTGGGGACAGTGGTAGAAGGGGAGGATCAGAGAAGCCAGGATCAAACAGAATTTTTACATAGGGCAGAGGATTAACCCCTTAGTTTCCACATTGAGTATAACAAGTATGATTTACTGCATCTACAGACTGATTGTACTGTTTTAGGTTTAGTAACACTTTAAGGTTTTCCACCTTAATGCATTCTATACATTAAGGTGAAAAACCTTCTGGGCTGCAGGAACCTCCCCACCCAGCCCCCCTTATACTTACCTGAGCCTGATCCGATCCAACAATGTGCATGAGAGCAGCGGATCTGTCCGCCGTCTCCCTCCTCTCTGGGCAGATTGATAGCAGCAGGAGCCCATGGCTCCCACCGCTGTCCATCAAATGCTATGCTGAGCTGGGGGGCATGGGGCTGAGTGCCAGCTCTGTGTCAATAGACGCAGACAGGGCGGCTCATGAGCGAGGCCACACAGGTGCTCCCATGGAAAGCAGATTTCCATGGGGGCACCCACTGAAGAGGAGGAACCTGGAGCTCCAGCGGAGGACCCCAGAAGAGGAGGATCCGGGTTGCTCTGTGCACTACCATTGCACAGAGCGGGTAAGTATAGACATGTTTGTTATTTTAGTCAAACAAAAAAAACAAAAACTAAGGTTTAATGTCATTTTAAAGAGCCTTTACAGGCAGACCTACACTTCTTAATATGTAAAGTTCACCTTCCAGAAGATTTTCCAGAAATCCTTGTACAATTCTGTATTCTTGGAATAGTACATACCAGTACTAATGTATATGGTGCTAGTTCTCCTATTACAGACGTAGCTGTTGGAGGGGGGGGGGGGGGGGGCAATGGCCAATGCGTCCAAGCTGGAAGTAGAATAGAAGCCTAACTTCCAATATGGGGTATTGTAAAAGCACCCCGTTTTATATGCATAGGATATACAGTGGCCCATATTCGCTCCAACATGTCAGGCTGCAGGTCATTTCACATCTTACCAGCTATCCAAAGCTGGCCATAGGATTGAAATGTGTCCAGTATAGCAAGGACCAGCCGGAATTCGATCCATCAGTGGCCATTCCTGAGAAGTCAATCCAACAATAGACTCCTCTCGAGCTGGCTTATTGGAAAGCCTTCTCTCAGTTCATCTTCTATCCGACTCCCCTCTCTCCCCAAGCTCTGTCTTATTGGAGGGTTGCCCTTGTCACCATGCCCAACCTCCTGTCAAAGGATTGGCCAAGGTCCCTCAAACACGCAGATCTGGGCCTTCTGCCTTCCCCCACCCATTCCAGAAAACTCTAAGGTTTATGGAAGGGCTCCAGAAGCCCTGACCTGTAGAACCTCCCAGCCTGCCTTGAGGTGACCTCCTGTCTCACTCCCAGGCTGACTCATCCCAGGCTGCTACTCAGCCTCCATCTAACAAAGAAAAAATCTAGCTAAACTGGAGGACGTTACATAGCGTTTGGAAAGTGACAAAAACACTAGGTATAAAATCTTCATGCAAATGGATTTTGCAGTTATCCAAGACAGAAATATAGGGGATCCTGAAGCCTAAAGTAGTACAGAGGATCTGCAACCAAAAACAGTAGATTGAGGTGCATGCCAGTCTAGCTCAAGCCAGGCTTTGCCAAAATCTAAACTTGGATCCAGTTGGCAGCACTATACAGCCACAATGCTTCCAACTTTGGGCCTCATTCACAACAAGGGCTCATTCACACCATATGCGCTGGGCAGCCGTACCCAATGCATTCCCAATACAAATACAAGGCAATCTGCTTCGGGTTCTATGTTCACACCACTGAACTGCCATTGGGATAGTTTTTTTTTTTTGACCCTCAACAAAAGGAAGAGCTTCCATTTTATCTCTTCTACGTAAGAAAAAAAAAAAAAAGGTTTTACCTGATAGTATGATTTGATTTGTTTCACCAGAACGGACAAATTTTGTATCCTCAGGGAAGCATCATTATTGATCTTTTTGTATATTCTTTGATTATCAGCTTTAGGATTTCTGTAAGAAAAAAGAAAAACGAGAATTAGCTTTCTTCTGTAAAAAAAAAAAAAGTAACAAAACCTAAGACAACAAAATAGACTTTAAGGCTAGGTTAAAATATCTATACTTGTTGCGACAGATGCATTTTTGAAGTGCGTTTTGCAAATTTTGAACACACTTTTTTTGGGGGGGGGACAATAGGAAAGTATTGAGTGTGACTTGAGTGCCAGGGATTGTAAAGTCGCACTCAATACTTTGTTACTGGCCAAAATAAAGAATCAAAAACACATAAAACACTTGCATTCTTGGTGTGGTTCACTAAAGTCTATTGCAACAAAAATGCAATCTGTTGTGGGAAAAAAGTCCCTGACCCTTTCCAAAAAATGCAGCAGCTGAAAACGCATAGATGTGAACAGGTCCTATAGGAAACCATGTTAAATGGACTTAAGTGTGTTTCTGCAAAACGCACTAAAAAAAACGCGAAGTGTCAGGGGCGGACTGACAACTCATGGGGCCCCTGGTTAATAGGGGATCATGGGGCCCGTGTCCTTGCCCACACTCAAACCACACCAAAAAAAGTCTATGAAAGGTACCAGGGGCACCTCATGGGGCCCCTTACTGACCCCGGGCACCTGGGCAGTGCACGAGTTTCCAAATGGTCAGTCCGCTCCTGCATAGTGTTTACACTGATAAACAGTGCCCTGATTATCAGTGTAGCCCCACCAGCGCCGCCCATCAGCGCCCATCAGTACAGCCTATCAACGCCCATCAGTACAGCCTATCAGCGCCCATCAGTACAGCCTATCAGCGCCCATCAGTGCAGCCTATCAACGCCCATCAGTGCAGCCTATCAGCGCCCATCAGTGCAGCCTATCAGCGCCCATCAGTGCAGCCTATCAGCGTCCATCAGTGCAGCCTATCAGCGCCCATCAGTGCAGCCTATCAGCGCCCATCAGTGCAGCCTATCAGCGCCCATCAGTGCAGCCTATCAGCGCCCATCAGTACAGCCTATCAGCGCCCATCAGTACAGCCTATCAGCACCCATCAGTACAGCCTATCAGCGCCCATCAGTACAGCCTATCAGCGCCCATCAGTGCAGCCTATCAACGTCCATCAGTACAGCCTATCAGCGCCCATCAGTGCAGCCTATCAACGTCCATCAGTGCAGCCTATCAACGTCCATCAGTAGAGCCTATCAACACCCATCAGTGCAGCCTATCAGCCCCTATCAGAGCACTGATAAGCTGCAATAAAGGGCATTGCTGGGGCTGCACTGATAATCAGGGAACTGGTTAGCGAACATCAGTGAAGAAGAAAAAATTTTACTTATTTGCAAAATTTTATAACAGAAACAAAGAAAAAAATTTTTTAAATTTAAATTTTTTTTTGTTTGTTTTGTTCACCAACACCTCCATCTGTCTCACAAAATGCTAAAAATGTCATATGGGTACAGTGTTGCATGACTGAGTAATTGTCATTCAAAGTGCAACAGTGCTGAAATCTGAAAAGTAAAGTAAAACAGAGTAATAACAAGCAACAATAGCAGACTGAGCCCTTTCCGCTTGAGTTTACATGCCCTCTTTGACTTTTACAGGCCCTTTAGTCTTTACTGGAAGCAATTTTTACTGGTAGCTATAGGTTTCAGTTGTGTTCATCCATAAACCAGTGGAACACCTCTCTCCTCACATTGTGAAATGCTTTGTTTTAAGCTACTTTTTTGTGATTCTTTTTAAAACAATTGTATATGGTCCAAAAATAAGCCAATACACTGAAAGATCCCACTAATTGGGTAAAAAGAAAGTCTATTGGGATGGTTGGCAGAGATCAAAGAGGAAGAGCACAAGCACTGAGCTACAGAGGTGGTCTATGCCCCACCAGGAACTGTGGAGGTAGATGCCAATCAGATGCCCCAAATATAATCAAAATGTTCTATGGGACCTCTACTTTCATAGGTAATTCTATACAGGTGTAAGATTTGGTCAATGAGTATTTTCCATGTCCCCAGGATTGGACATAAAGGATGCCTTCAAGCTAGTGGAAAAGCTTTTTTGGCATATGTAGGCCCTTGAGGGCCACTGGATTTTTTGCTGGGTTCCCTTAGCTCTGCACAGCCAGGCAACATATATTTTCCACACTTTCTCTCAGTCAGTAAAACAGTCTTTGAGCTTGTTTTTACTGTTTTTAGGGGTTAACAACTTGGATGGGGTCTAGGGGTATATGGGATGCCCAAGGAACTGTATAACTTAGGACAGCTTTTTGGCAACAAAATGTACAAAGATGTGGCCAAAAATCAGCAACAGTCTTAGTAAGGAGCATGGAGTCCCCTTTGGTGAACCTCCTCATACCCCAGATGAAACTCTCCTCATACATCCAGCTGTCCTGAGGGTATCTCTGGGCAAGGGATTCCAAGATTTACCATGGAGAAGTCCCATATGAGAACTAGTTGGGTATTGCAACTGACCGCCCTCTCTCTTCTGTGGCCCAGGGGGTGTAGATTTACACACACTGTCCTGTAGCTTAATGGGTTGAAGCTACTTTCAGGCCTTACGCTGGGCTGGCTCCTTCCCTGCTGACAGGCTGTCTCTCCTAAGTGGACTATAGGGCAGTGGAAATCCTTCTGTCTGGCTCCAGCCTGTAGGTAGGCCCCGTCCCCAGCCTCCACACCACCTTCCTTCAATCCAGCTTCCACCCGACTTCAACTAACTTGCTGCTCAGGCTCTCCAACACTTAAGGGTGGTTCTAGCCACCAAGCCAAGCCTTCTGCCTGGGGATTGGCCAAGTTCCCTTAAACATGCAAATCCAGGCCTCCCCCCCCTCCTCTGTCCCTCGTCTAGGAAGGTCCAGCAGTTTCTAGAAGGGTGGGAGGGCTCCAGAAGCCCAGACCTGTAGAGCCTCCCAGCCTGGCCCTGAGGTAACCTCACTCCCAGGCTTCTAACAAGCTTCTAACTAACCAAAAAAAATCATATCTACTTAGTGCACGCTACACATAAAAAAAAGAAGAATCCATGAGACGCTTAGAATGTTGGGTTCCCTGCAATTCAGCTCAGGAGTGGTAAGAAAAACAAATTAAAATCGGCACTCAAATCACATTTTTTAAACAGCAGATGGGGTCTGAAGCTTAGTGTATAAAGGGTCAATGGTGTGTATTATATTTGATGGAAATTTTTTACTTATATAATTTTTTCCTTAGAGGGGAAGAGAGTTCATGTAATTTTCCTCAAATTCCATCTAGTCATTCACAGACAATTTGGGTATAAGCAATTGCCACTTTTCCTTGGAATTGTGAAATTTAGACATTGGCAGTTATGAGTGTTGTAATATGTGGAGAGAAGTTTAGTGGAGCCCTCTGTCAGAGAAGTGTCTCTAGAGTGGGTCGAACAAGGGTCAATCCCGTGGCCTTAAGCTATGGCCATATCACATGGGAGAATTGGAGGTTCTGAAATTGGGCTGTATGTGGAATTCTAAATGCCTCCTGTAGATGAAAAAGTGACCAGGTCACCATCCCCGATCATATGTTCTAAGAATTTGATGCCTACGCATGACCAATGGTGTGCGGTCAGGAGCAGCTCTGTGTAAGAGAGATCACCCCAAAGGGGCATGTTAGGTGATCTACTTCAGCTTTTTTTTTAAAGGAAGATTTGGTTACCAAAATCAAGTTTCCAGTACTGGAGAACATATTTGTGCCTGGGTGTGAAGGAAGGGGTGCATCTGGCACATATGCTATCCCACATGGAACCCCAATTGATCAGATGTTTTATCAGTGCTACCAAACAAATCCAGTGCTCTCAGGGCCCAGCAGTGCTGCTCAGCTTCTTTGGTAGACATGAATCGGCTTCAGAATTTCACTGGTTTCCAGTGCAGGCTCTAATGTGTAGCTTCAGTCAACCCAAAGGCGACCAAAGAAAGCTAAGCACCAAGGACTGGCAACCAATGCTCAGGATGCTCCGTTAAAAGGTAGAAATATTTTTCTATGTAGGTGGAAAAGCTCCTTAAACCTATACAAAGTGAAGCTGCATCCTGCTGAACAGTTCCAATTTCAATCCTGGCATTTCTCTTCTGCCCTTAGCCTGCTTAGTAAATGTCTATAGTTGCAGTACCTCATCTTCAAAATGTCTTGAAATCGAGATGATGGATGGGCTTGGCAATCTGGGTTCTGTGGTCTTGAGCAACAGTCTAGTCAGCCAAGGGGAACTACCTAATTATTTTTTAGTTAGATGGGTGAGTAGCAGCCTGGCTGATAGTCAGAGGGTCAAATTTGGGTTAGGGTTGAGAGGCTCTGCAGATCAGCTCATTGATACCTCCCCCTGATCTAGAAGACTTGGAGAAGTCTCTAGAACTCAGTGGGGGGGGGGGGGTGGAGCTGATCTGCACTTCTGAGGGATCCTCACCAATCCACAAGCAGGAGGCTTGGCATGGGATCAGGACAGCCCTTAAGAGTGATAGAGCCTGCTCAGTAGCAAGCTCGGGTGAAAGATGAAGTGAGAAGGCTGGAGTGTGGTGCCTGGGAAGAGGCCCAGGAAAGGAGAGTGCATGTGATCAGCACAGGGCCAATCAACACTGTCCAGACAGAGGTCAGGGTTTTACATCCTCCTAGAGCAGAAAGAAAACTCCTCCTACAAGCTTTAACCAGTGCTCTGCTGGACACTGATAGAAGTCACAAGACTGCTCTAACTGCTGATGAGAAAAGTGCTTAGCAGTTTATATTTACTAAAATAATTGCACTTTCATGTTGTGTGTACTGTGGGAGACCAGATATAGTGAATGCAGGGTCTGGGGAGACCATATATAGTGAATGCAGGGTCCGGGGAGACCAGATATAGTAAATGCAGGGTCCAGGGAGACCAGATATAATGAGTGCAGGGTCCTGAGAGACCAGATATAGTGAATGCAGGGCCCGGGGAGACCAGATATAGTGAATGCAGGGTCCGGGGAAGACCGAATATAGTGAATTCAGGGTCCGGGGGAGACCGAATATAGTGAATTCAGGGTCCGGGGGAGACCGAATATAGTGAATGCAGGGTCCGGG